GCTTCAGGACCCCCCCCCAACCATCTCCTCGGGGGAAATATTAGAGGTCTAAACAGCCCCCTGATATTTCCCTTTTTAAAATAGAAAAATAAATTGAGGACTCTGTTCTAAATTAATGGAAAGCACAGAGGCTCCTCCCCATTCATTCAGAAGCTATTTACTATCAGCAGTTTCTGAATGGGGAGGAGCCTCTGTACAGAGTGCTTCTCCCCATTGAGAAACTCATGAATGAACAGGAAGTGATGTAACTGGGGACACCCGGTACTACGTGTCCCCGTTTTTTTTTACAAACACCGGAGTGATCAGCTGATCGCTCCAGTGTTTGTCCTGTACAGAGGATCGGTACATATCACTGGTATGTACCGATCCTCTGCTGCTCGGCCACGCACACGGGGGCTCAGCTTCTCCTCTGCATCCCCCCTGCTCTCCTGGGCAGAGGCAGCGGGGGATCCGACGAGAAGTGAAAGAAGCACTTCAGCCACGTCGGCTGTCAGAACCTGGCCGAGCGTCTCTCTCCTCACCGCTCGGCCTTAGTTCTGTGAGAGCGGCTCCGCCCTCCGCCGCCGGGGGCTGCAGCGGTTCCTTCACTTCTCGGATCCCCGCTGCATACAGATGGGGAGAGCAGCGGGGATCCTGAGAAGCACCACGGGCGGGAGGAGAGGACATCACGATCTACCTTTATGGGCACCCCTGCTGTACACCATCTCTGCTCCTCTACCCTACACCCTCCTGTATACTTCATCCCTTCCCTCTCCATCCTGTCCCTACCCCTCTCCTTCCTGTCCCTACCCCTCTCCTCTTCTTTATACCCTTTTCCCTTATTTCTTTGTGCCTTTTACTGCATCTCTTATTCATCACCTTCTTCCACCTTCCCCCTTCACTCTGCACCCCTTTCCTGTCTCTGCCTTGCTCCGCACCCCATTGCTGATTCTCTCCTCTGCTCCCTGCTAATCTTCTATACGCTGCATCCGATCTCCCTCTCTCTCCCTGCCTGTCTCCTCTAAC